TTACTATATCTTGCTGCTCTCTCAGCCAACCTCAAGTTAAGCAAAATACAAAACAGATAGGTGAATGCCAGCTGTGGGTAAAACACCAACCTGAATACATTTGGCAGGGAGAGGCGTACTCAATAATACATCTGCTTAACGCTGCTCATCTGCACGCGCAAGCTCACACTCTCTTTCTCCCTCCAGTAACTAAGGTCTGTGTTTTCCATTGCATGCGAAGGTGCACTGACTGAAAAGGTACACACTTGTGAAATCACCCTGAGTGCATGAAACACGTGCCAGCAAGCATGCCAGAAAAAAAAGCATCTGCAGCCAAAGGCGCCTAGAGACTTTTTCAGTTTTCATCATCTGATACAGCTAAGCTGGATGAGTGGCCCTCACCAGACAGCTCTTTGATTCATGAGCCTGTTCTGAGCTCTTGTCAGAGTCAGCGCTTTCCTCACCAGGGACAATGAGAAGCATCAAACTGTGATGTACAGTGACCAGTGAATGCAGCATGACTGATTGCTGTTAGACTCAAAAGCCATACGTGTATTTACAGTACACACATGGCTATATCAAGTAGCACTGTATCACTTACACAGGTTAGTAGCATCAAACTATATGTTAATGATGCAGTTGTTTATTATAAGGATTAAATGAGCTGCTAAACAACTGCAACTTGCTTTGAACAGTCCCGTGATAGAGTTGTATTGAATACACAAAAACCTGTTAATTTGAGAATTATCACTATCAAAATGTACGCTTCTTTCTGTGTGAGAAGACAGCATCACTGGCTCTTGTTTGTTTTTTCAAGGCAGTTTAAATACACCTCATCATTCTAACTAACTTCACCTTTTTACATGGAAATCTTCAGGTAGTCAAACCTGTCCTGATGGCTGATTTAAGCAACACAAAATAAATAAAGACCTTAGAAGGCTTACTTTCACACACACAGCTCCATCATCCTGGAATAATGTATGACAGATATTAAAAAAACACAATTAATCTTAACTTAAGCCCACAACCAAAGCAACAGCTGAGAGGAGGGTACTTATTACTTCTTACCTCCCTCACCTCTCATCACTGATACGCCCTCAACAAATGCAGCCTGTAACCCTATGGGACAAACAGCCACAACACACCGCAGTGACAGAGCAGCTAATGGCCTCAAGAAACTGTGACTAAAAAAACTCAAAGGCTGATGTGGATATTTGAGAGTTTAAAAAATCTGATAACCATGCGTTGGCTAATATTCACATTTAAGCATAAACAAATGCTTTTATATGGATCCTTAAAGTTAGTTATTACAGATTTTTAGCCTCTGCTTTGAGCACTGAGCAGGACATTTAGCAGTTGGACAATAAACTTTAGCTCTCTTGCTTTTCTATATTGCAATATCTTGTTACTTTTTATCCAATATACTGCATACACAATACCAATATATGATGAAAAAAATCTACTTATAGCAGCCTGACAGATTTCTATCTAATAAGCCTTTTAAACAAAATACATTTCTGATGCATCAGGGTACAAAAATGCAGATGTAAATAATAAAATTGATGATGGCTGAGTTCCATTTAGCTGCTTTAGTTTCAGTGTCCTTCATTGCATACAAAGATGGATGACATGAAAACACCCCGAAAGTGAAGCCAAAACATCTTAATGACTCCATGGTGCTCCCACCTCCATATTAGCAGATGGGACATGGGCCAAACTAGGGAACAAAGTCCACATCAAATACATTTATAATAAAAATGGCTTGTGTCGTTTTAGGTTTTTGTCATCACGCTTTTAATCACTTATTTGATGCTGTGAAAAGGGGTTTGACGTCATGACTGACAGCCATATGTGCCTAGTGGTGTCCTCATGATCAGTGGTGCAGCCCATGATTGGTTGGGTGGGAGCTTGATTGTGCAGAGTTGCTACTGCTCAGACTCAGGCTCCCACTGACATCACCAGTGCAAGATGGCAGCAGATATTTTGGCTTCATATTTGTACAGTGGGATTGAGCAAAGACACGTTTTCCATCTTTATATACGGTTTTTATCCTGATATTGTGCATGATGTCTCACTGTCACACTGTCATGGCTTACTGGGACACTTAAAGAAGTACTTCACCGCTGGAAAGATGACCTTATAATAAAACTAGGATGTCTAAGCAGTAGAAAGACATAAATACTTTAGAAATGGGTGCTAAAAAGGAAGCTTTTTCTCAAGAGGGAGAAGACCTACAAATACCAGAATGCACTGCGCTGCACCACACCAATAAAAAGTCCCGCTGGTGGGTGACATAATATAAATACAACCATTTGAAACAATGGCGACTGGCTAGCAAGAAACAATCTACGTACAGTAAGCTAAAACATGTTTCTAAAAACCCTTAAGGCGAGACAGAGACAACTCAGTAACAGAATCTTGGTTTATATTTGATTATATTTGATCACTCGCAAATATCTGCATGGGACTGAGCTCAAACTGCGACAAAGCTGGTGTGTATTTCCAAAGCGCTGTCAATCACAAAGGGGTTCTGCCTTTTAAGGCCCTGACACACCAAGCTGACGGTCGGCCGTCGACCAAAGTTGGGCCGTCAGTGAGCGTCTGTCGGCCTAGTTTTTGCGGTGTGTCCTGCACCGTCAGCCCTACGGCGTCTGCGGCTTTTCGGCTGATTGAGCATGTTGAATCAGCGGCGGAGCTAGTCGGTGGAAGACATCACTCTGATTGGCTGTTCAGGTTTTATTTCCTCGCCCCTGTAGCGAGTGAATCTGCCTGTAGTGAAACCGGGGCTAATCGGTGCTTCCTCCACAGGCACCACTTCAGTCAGCTGCCCACAGACCCGCTGCTTCTTCCCACTTTAACCTGAATAACAAACCGGGGCTAGCTGTGAGGCTTGTGGCGCGTTAGCCGCAGCATGACCAGAGGGAAGCACAGCCAGTTAGCCTCTGCTAGCTTCCCAGCTAGCCCTGGCTCTCTGTTTGAATCCAAATGGAGAACCAGGGGTAGCTGGGAGCAGCTCGCAGAGCGTTAGCCGCAGCATAACGGAGGGATGCACAGCCAGTTAGACTCCGCTAGTCTCTGAGCTAGCCCCGGCTCTCCGTTTGGATCCAACCAGAGCACCGAGCCCTGGTTTGTTATTCAGGTTAAAGTGGGAAGAAGCAGCGGGTTTATTGGGTAGCTGAGTGAAGTGGAGCCTGCGGAGGAAACACTGGGACCGTCTGGATGTAATAGTCCGTGGAGGTGCTCAGCAGCACAGATAGGTAACACCTCGGCTGTCAGGATGTACTACTCTGTCACTCCGCTCTCTCTCATGCAGGTGCAGAACATACGTACCACTTGGCCGTCGGATGTAGTCCGTGTAGTGTGTTCAAATGCAACTGACACAGGGCGACGTGAGGCGACGTAGACAACGGAACAGTTGGCTTTTGTCGCCGCTAGTTCTTTGATGTTGGTTTGGTGTGTCCGCACCTTTAGACAATTCCTCCAATCATCATGCATACACTGAGCATCCTCTCCCGCCTACCGCTCCATAAGGTCCCAGGGAAGCTGAGCCTGATGATTACGATTATGTCGCATTTATCCAATGACCGTCTCGCTTTGCTGCATGAAAAAAAACTGCTCAGCACTGTTTCATAGGAATGCTTGGAGGCTCCGTGTCCACCGTGCTGACACGAGAATATATGACAGGGAGGTCGCGTTTGAAAACTGGTGATAAACAGCCGACGTTTGACCATCATCATGATGTTAAACGCATCCTAGCGCATGTTTAATGCAATTTAAGTTCTTATTTTAATGAAAATTCAATAGTGCATATTTGATCATTTTAGAAGAAGTTCAGCCTCCCTTGTTGTCTCAGAGCAATTGCTCCTGCTACAAACACAGGCAAGAAATACAGTAACATAGTCTTTATATACTTGATCAGCACTGCCTAGCTTTACCGTCTGACTGAATTTTGGTCCGAGGTTGAAAGAGAGAGGGAAAGAGAGGGGCGGGTCTGTCTCTTGATCCACTGCTATGCTCTTTGTGTCCATGGTGGTGGCATGGGTGGCAGGCAATTCAAAAGTAGTACAGCTTGTAGCTCGAAAAACAGCGTGAGGGCCAGCGAAACGAGGTGAATGAGGGATATCTCGGCACTGGTTAGGTGGAGGGAAGTTTACCACATTGTTTTGATACAGAGCTGGTTGGAAATTGGCGATGTATCCCTTTAAATACAACGGTGCCATTGTAAATGTTATTAGCAACACCTGTGCTTTTCCTACTGTAACATATACATGTCTGCTGACTACAAATGTCCTCTGTGTGTCTTAGGAAGGGAGGAACCCTGATATTAGAATATTATAATGTCTGGTCTAATGGCTTAGTGTTTCATCCTGTCTCTGTTAGCCATGGTCTCTGCAGTTTGGCCATCAGCCCTCCTCTTTGTGGAAATGTGTACAGCTCCAGTACATGCCAAGATGGTGGCAAACAGTAAACCCAAAATGAGTCTTTAATGGGTGATGATCATGTTTGTTTAGTTTGCAACAGCCTGTGGATGACAAGTGGTGATAAGTCTGGGTGCCTAAGGGTGGAGAAGGCGGGGGGGGGGGGGGCTGAGAGAAATTTGTTCCCAGGGAGGAGGTGACCACAAATCCTAGCTACACCCCTGGCTCTGTCTATATGTCAAGCCCAGTAATGAGATATGCAGCTATACTACATACATATCATATTGCTCTTCCATATATCGATTCATACGTAGCCATGGTTTGCTGTGTTGCTGGCTACACACGACTCCAGCTATATGAATGTACTCCACACATTACACGGTGTATTATACGTTAAAATGTAAGCGTCTAACTTTACCTGCTGCCCACATCCATTCAGCTAAGTTAGCTACTAGCTTAACGTTAGCTTACCAATTCCTTGCTAGCAAAGATGAGTCGGGAATTTCTGTTCACAGCAGTGGCATCAGATGGAAATGGATGTCAGGGTGATGAAATAAACATGAACACGGACACGGTTTATATGAGAGAAAGCTGGAAAAGTACCCATGTCCGCGGTGTCCATCCCGTAGCTAACTCCGACGACCGTGTCCCCATCATCGGATGCTGCGGCCCCGGATAGCGGGCTCCCGTCCCTGGCCTCCGACAGCCCGACCGCTCCCTCGGCTGCTGCCTCCATTCAGCCTCCCGGAGGAAAAACAGGCAAGCCCTCCTGATGAAACACCCACAGCGGCGGCACGATCCCGGTGAGAGGACGGAGGAGAGTGTGGCTCGGTGCTCAAACGCAGGAATGTGTGATAGTTATCCGCAAGGGTCCCTTCATCTGTGCGGTGTTTCCTCACGACGGCGGAGCAGCGTCCGTCCGCTCCTCTCAGGTCGACTGCACCGCACTTGCTGCCGCTACTGTGCTGCTGCTGCTGCTGCCTGGGTTTTAGTGCCGGACACCGCGGCGCCCTCTGCAGGAGGCTGAGGGAGCTGCAGCCAGGAGCTCAGCGCGTCCTCTCGGGTGCTCTGAATCACACGCAGAGGTCAGCTTCAAGTGATGGAGTCTGAGTGGTTGCCATTACATTTACGCAAGCTCTTAATCTGTCTGGTGAGTCAACAGCTCTTTGTCATATATTTTGCTTTATTTGTCTCCAAAAGCTTAAACAGAGACAGAAAAGTAGCTGCCAGATAGAGAGATGGTTTACTGGTTAATCGGGTCATAAAAAAAAACTTTGGACCTCTGCATCTTAATTACACAGTGTTGTATATCAAATTCATATTAACTGGGTCTTCAACAGGAGGTCCAGGACCCCTAGTGGGATCATCAGAGTTACTGCAGGAGGGCCACCAAGTTATTGTTTTTACCCCAAAGCCATTACAACACTGAACACTGCAATGGCATCACACAGCCAGTTGTAATTAATACTTACACTTACGTTATGTGCAATAGCTTTATTCATTTATTTATTTTGTGTGCAATAATTCTGACTTATTTTATGTATACTGCTTGTGTGTGTGTATGTGTGTGTGTGTTTAGAGTATGAAATGAATGATATCTTTATCTTATCTCCTTTATTATTTATCTCTTACTTTTATAATGAGATCTGTTTTATCCTGTGTATTTTTTAAAAAGAGTTTTTTAAATATAAACATTAGAATATGTCTGAAAATGCACATGAACATGAATCCTAACATATTTTGCAACAACCTGCAAAGTGAATACAGGTCAAGCAGCCAAGAGCTGATGTGGCCCTCTGCTTGAAAACCTCCATCTGCCTTGTTTAATATGCAATGCAATTTCATACCCTGAAAAATGTCAAAACCCCCAGTTATATTGGATACATAGCCTTGACAAAATGTGTTAAGTTTTTGACTCCAATAGTAAGCGTTTCCCTTTATTCAGGTGCTAACAGCTCTATCATCCTGAAAGCAGGCTCAGTGCTGGGCAGGAGCCTGGAGTCGGTGGAGACCATCACAGAGAGATGCCTGAGGAGCAAGATGCAGGGCATACTAGACTGTGATAATCATCCACTGCACTGCATCTTGGCTGGACAGAAAAGCAGCCACAGCCAATGTCTCCTGTCACTGCGGCGCAGGACTGAGAGGCTCAGGAGGTCCTTCATCCCGACAGCCATCAGACTCTTCAACGCCTCAGTTGGGGGAGGGAGCACATAGCTCATTTCCCCACTACATCTTCACACCCTCCTGCACTTTCGCACTTTGTACTTTCGGGCTGTGTACACTGTTTACATGTAGATTATTTTTATTTTATCTTATTTTATTTTACTTTTATATTCATGTTTATATTACCCTTTCTTGTACTCTTTTATGTGTTTTGTATGTGCCTTGTACTTTTTTATGTGCCTTAGCCACTGGACACGACAATTTCCCTATGGGGATTAATAAAGTACCTATCTATCTATCTATCTATCTATCTATCTATCTACAATGTACAGCTTGTATGGCACAGAACCAAGGGTAGGCTTAGAATTAGAGGTCATTCATACTACCAGATTACTGTACATTGCACTTGGTGCAATCTCTTCACAATAGCAACATGCAGTTTGACTAAACCCTCAAACTACTATTTCCTTCAGCCATTATTGTATATGCAGAGCAGAAATTACCACTATTAAAAGAACTCAAGGCATTCTTTTTTTACCTGTTTCTAGGCTAAACCTGTCATACTAGTCAACATAGATTTATTGACAGGCATCTGTATCTAGGTAGAGTATTTCTCAGCTGGAATCTACTTTTTATGTTATTTCCATGGTGTGGGAAAGTTCAATCAATATTTGAACATGAGCTACTCTCACTGAAAGCCTGAAATGAGAGAAGTAAGGCTCAAACTTGTCAAATATAAAGTCTGGAGCAAGTGGCAACCTCCAGGGCTGAGAGCTGAAGCCAGTGTGGATGTGCCAAGAACTGCAGTTCATCAGATGGCCACTTGAGGCTCCCTCCAAAACAGAGTAAACTCCCACAGACACCCATGATAAAATCCTGCCTTTTACTGCATAAATAATCATGTTTGCAGCCTGGTACAAAAACGTTTTGGTGTTTTCGCTAATTTCAACATTCATGCCAACTGTACAGGGGGATTAATTTTTCATAACTCGTTTTATTTAGGCACAAAGTTATGCAAATTTAACGGTGGGGCCGCCTGAGTGACATTCTGTGAGATCCACTCCTTGCTCCTACACAGCTCCACCTTCTCATCCAAATATGGTCACTTCTGGCTCCAAAAAAGTGGAAGGAATGCCAACCTTGAAGCCGCAAAATGGCAGTCCACCAACCAGTGGGTGACGTCACAGCAGCTACGACCATTATTAGGCTACATACAGTCTATGGTCTGGAGCTGCTCCATAGTCAGTGAATGGGAGTCTGTGTTTGTGGACCCAGGTGGTTTTCTTTTTTTTCATATATCCAAATGAGCTTTAGTCTATTCTAACGTTCTCAGATGTGAAACATAAAATACACCCAGATACTCAGACTATTCCCCTGGGTGCTCTCAGTGTCATCTATAACATCTTTCATCATCTATGGAGCAGCTCCAGATGCTATGTGATGACATATTTGAGTTTAAGAGCTCTAGTTGTGTAATTTGGGAGAGAGTTGTTCATGTTTGCTAATATTTTTGGACTGTCTTAGACCATATGAATAACATGTATTACTTTTAAAAAATAGTTGTACTTTAATATGCAATGGCATTTTATACTATATATGTAGTAGGGGGCTCCTGCTCAGCCTCTCTTTCAGCTTCTGGGTCCTTGGCCTGAAAAACATTGAAGACCCCTGGTCTAACTTGTTCATATGTGTCTCTACAACCATCTCCACTGTGCTTACCTCTCTACAAAGCATAACTGTGCCTGTCTTCTACCTGTTGAGCTGATGTACTGTATGAATCCAATGTCCAAAAGAAAAGACTGTGACATAAAACATTTCTCTGCCCAGAAGAACAAATCTCACAGTCTCATTTTAGGCTCCAGCGCTCACTCATGAACGGTTTTCTGACACACACTTGCATTTTTCAGTACGACAGAAATGGATTTTCTGTCTTTCCCTCCGTCCATTTCCATTACACAGAGTGAAAAATCATTGTGCACAACAATAGCTCAAAATACAAACACATCTATTCTACAAGCAGCACCAATCTAATATGATACAATAAAACCTAACACGTCAATGTTTTCCTGACAGACAATAAACATCACAGACAAAAATATCATTAGCACAAAATCTTAGTGCGTTTTATTATGAAAACAATGCCACACATTAATCTGTTAAAAGAGTTAATGATCCATTTAGGGCTCATTTGTCTTTCTCTCCACTGTGCCAAGTAGATACAAGCTTGGTAATCCTCCCAGGAGGTTTGCACGCCATTTTCATCAGGTCTGCTCTGCCCAACATGCGGGTTTATGAGCAGACCGTCACTGGTCTGGGGTGGACTCAGACTGTATCCACTGGTGCTTGGAGAGGCAGAGAAAGGAGCTACAAGGGTGATGGAAAGACAAAATGGTGACATGACTCATCAGGTAGGTGTTTACAGGTATCTGGGAAGATCTTTCTCCACCACCTGGAAAGAAAGCAAGATCAAGAGTTGACATCAGCTGGAGTGAAGTTACAGCTCTAATAATGTTGACTGATGCATGGATATTTGTAACTATACTCATCGACTTTATTTGCGATCTATCAGCGTGTAACCCCCCCCCCACTCATGTTTAAATATCAATAAAAGTGCACTGATTTTGTGAATTATGGGCCACAGATAATGCCCTTTTGTTTCTCCAACTTGTTCACCATGTGCACAGTGTCATATCTGCATGGTTTCACATTGTGACAGCAGAAGGAAAGATTTGCACAAAAACAGGAAAAGCTCCTCCCAGAGTCACCAGGCCACTGAAGGCAAATAATTACACAGCCACATGGGAAAGATAAAAATAAACGGATGTGCTGCAGTCGATATTCACTTCAGTGTCTTTGGTAAAGTAACATGTTTGTACGTACGCTGGGATCATCCAGGGGTCCGTATCTCTTCACCACCTGACCCTGTCTGTCGATCAAAAACTAGAGAGAAAGAGGAACAAGAGAGAACTCAAATACAGTGAGCATGAAACAAAAAACTATTTTTAGTTTTAGAATGAAACATTCTGTGGCTGAAACCAAAGGTGCAACGACTAAGCAAATGGGGGGACACAATTAAAATCTATAAAATGGAGATAATAAACCACAGGATTGGGAATCTGTTTAAAGTGTTTGATGTGAGATGGAAAAAATACAGGAAAAAAACTATATCCCAAACCCATTTCCTGACCTGTTTTTATTTAATTTTTACTTATTTAACAAGAACAACAATGATAATGTTAATAATAATAATACTTATTATTATTGTTATTTTTATTATAATAAAAATAAACATCTATATCCCCAACCTTTTTTTTTAATCTAATTCTATTTTTTGTTATATATTAGATATGTTAAATATTATTACATAATTATTATTATTATTATTATTATATTACTATTACTGTGATTATCATTATTATTAGCATTAGCATAATAAAAATAAAAAACTATATCCCCAACCTATTTCTTAATCTAATTCTATTTTTTGTTTTAATTATTTAATAAAAATAATAAATAACCATAATAATAATATTTTTATTACTATCATTATTATTATTTATTATTATTTATTATTATTGTCATTATTATTATTATTGTATTACTATTACTATTATTATTAGCATTATAATAACAATGATTATTATTATAAAAATAAAAAACTATATCCCCAACCTATTTCTTAATCTAATTCTATTTTTTGTTTTAATTATTTAATAAAAATAATAAATAACCATAATAATAATAATATTTTTTATTACTATCATTATTATTATTTATTATTATTATCATCATTATTATTGTAT